ATTACTAAAATGGTAAAAAAATAAAAATAAAAAGAGAGAGAGATGAGTAAAATGAGAGCATTTGAGTGAGAATTGGGGAAGAAATAAGTTAAACATAAGCTTAACTCTATACAAAAATTTGAGAGGTAGTTTCAGCTGAAATTTCAACTGCTCCATAATTGTTAGCCATGGCTTGCTTGTTGCTGATATCATTAACATTTAAATAACAAACACTAACATCTCGTTAAAAGTTAGGGGGATAAATGATTTTTTTTAGTTTGGGGGTTCAAGTGATATTACGGGAATAGTTTAAGGGGTTAATGAAATTAACTCTTTTTCAATAGAAAAAGAACTCTTTCTGTTTTCTTTTTTACAACATAATTCTACGTGGAACTACAGCCATTTGATGGCAGACACTCAATTGCTTAAAATTTTGGAGGAGTTTTCAAAGGACCACAGCCAGTTAGCAACCCAATTCTAGAATCATCCTTACTGCTGGAGCATAAAACTTGCTTAGTTTAAATTAAAGAAAGCTTAACCATCTTATTTCAAATGAAACAAACAGTACTCAAGGATCCACCTCTTACCTGCTTCAACTTTGTACAAGGAAGAACTCAAAGTAAACAATTTTCAAAACTTTAGCACTTACAGATATCAGTATTTTAGCACTTTGTCTGCAAATTTTTCCAAACTTTGCCCACTTCTGAAGCTTGTCATCTTTTCAAACCCTCCAAAAAGCATCTCCAATCAGTTCACCTATCTGAATTTTTGGAAAAACAGTTTTGTATTTTCAAAAAACAAAATTATATTTGGCATGTGCTTTTGAAAACTATTTATCCAAAAACTAAATATTATTCAAAAGTTAAATGTTAGAATTTGTGATTGAAAGAGTTTGGCAAAATTACCAAGCCTGATGGCTTGCTAATTTAACTGAATGTTAAGGTTAAAATGGAAAATATTTCCCCAGTTGAAAAGTAAAAATTTACCAATTAAGGTCATTTAATTTCTCACATTACACTCATCTTCTCCCCTTCTTCTTCCTTCATTTTTTGCTAGGTTTGCAATTGTGAACTCTCTTTGTTCGCATGTGATTGCAATTGCAAAGGGAGGATGCATGATTACCGGTGGCAATGGAGAAATTGCAAACTCTTTTAGTTAGGGGTGTGCAAAACCAAACCAATTAACCAAACCAAACCAATTTTAAAATTTAATTTAGTTTTTTTTTTTTTAATTTAGTTTGGTTTAGTTTGGTTTAGAAAAATAATTCAAAATTATGGTTTAGTTTGACTTAAAACCAAACCAAACCATTTTAAACCAAAAACCAAAATTTTGAAAATTCTTTATAAAATATATTAATATATACACACACCTACATATATTTATAGAAATATATATTTAGATATATACATATTTACATATATACACTTATTTGTGTATGTACATACACACACATAGATGTACATACATACATACATACATACATATATATATAAATTTTATCTATTCATACAAATATAAATATATGTATATGTATATATATTTATATTGTATATAAATATATAGATACATATAGATATATATAAGGACATACATATATGTGCATGTATATATATATATATATACTTATATGTGTATGTATACACACAAACATACATACATACATACATATAAATTTTTTATACCCAAACAAACATAAATATATGTACATGTACATATATTTATATTGTATATAAATATATAAATACATATATATGTATAACTATATATATATACATGTGCATGCAACCAATATATGTGTGACTGTGTACACATACATGTATATATATACACATATAAGTACGTAAATGTGTATATTTATATATTTATGCATTTATGTATATACCTATATATATGTATGTGTGTGTGTGCGCGTGCGCACACGTATTTGTTATGTGTGTGTGCGTGTGTGTGTGTCTGTGTATATATGTGTGCGTGTACATACACACATATGTATTTATACATACATATATACATATATATATATGTTATGTGTGTGTGTGTATATATGTATGTCTATGTGTACACACACACATGTATATATATATATACATAAATATATGTATTTACATATTTATACATATACTGTTTGGTTCAATCACAGTCCGGTTCAGTTCATAGTTCGTATACGGTTTTAGTTCACAGTTCACTCACTGTTCTGGTTCATGGTTTATAGTTTATTCTCAGTTCCGGTTCTGGTTAAAAAAAAAAAAACCTAAACTGTAACTAGACCGCGAACCTTCATGGTTTTAGAACTGGATTGGACCGGATATGCCGGTCTAGTTCAGTCCAATTTTTCCCTAGTCCGCTTCAGGCCGGTTTACAGTCCGAACCAGAACCATGAACAGGTCTACGTGTACACGTATACATATATATTTTTATATTTACATGAATATATATATATATACACACATGAATATATACGTATATATGTTACATATGTGTGTATATATATATATATGTATATACAAATACATATATACACACACACATACATATACATGCATATACATGTATATTTAATAATAAAAATTAAATAAATAATTTTTAAAATATTTTTAATTAATAAAAAATTAAACTTAAAATTAAACCAAACCAAACCGAACCGAACCAAAATTTTAAGTTTGATTTGGTTTGGTTTAGTTTATAATTAAATTAATTTGATTTAATTTGATTTGGTTTGATTTTAAAAATATTAAAATTAAAAAATTAAACTAAAATATCAAAAATCAAACTAAAATCATGATTTATACACCCACCCGCTTCCAACGGCGTTGAATGAATCATGGTTGAATGACTCAATCTATTCGCTAGAGACAAACAACACATACCCTTATCTTTGGCCCGCCTCTCAAGTTCCTTATAAAACCCTCAATTCCAATCCTCCCTTATATCCCACGTCGTCCAACCTGCAACCGTGGAAGCACCGGCATACAAAAATAAAGCATACATGCAGTACGGTACAAGAAGCATACAAAAAATAGCATAATACTAGAAGAAGATGGGGAAGTTTTATAGTTTAAAATGCTTTGATTATTTTTTTTTATAAAAAGTTACAAGCATATTTACACTCAATTACGTATCTATCTTTATAAAATTAAAAATATATTTATACTCAGTTACAAATATAATTTTGTAAGGTTATAAATATATCTCTATAAATTTAAATGGGGAAGTTTTATAGTTTAAAATGCTTTGATTATTTTTTTTTTATAAGAAGTTACAAGCATATTTACACTCAATTACATACATATCTTTATAAAATTACAAATATATTTATACTTAGTTACAAATATAATTTTGTAAGGTTATAAATATATCTCTATAAATTTAAAAATATATTTATTCTTAGTTACAAAAATAATATTACAAAATAAAAAATATATTTCTACTTAATTATAAACACATTCTATAAGGTTATAAACATAACTTTGACAAGTTACAAATATAATTTTATAATTGGGTTATAAATGTTATAAAAAAATTATACTTTGACTTTCATTATATGATATATTTTTGAAATAAGAGTCTCGAGTTGTTAATATTAAAAATTTGGTATATTGAAAATAAAAAAAAAACTGAATACATATATAATTTTTTTTGAACCATACACTTCTACATTATCTAGCTATTTATTTAATATTTTATTCAATCTTAGATAAATTTATATTTTACAAGTTATTATAAATTTTGGTTATACAGTTGGTTTGAATTTGATTTGTACATATGTCACAAAGCCCCTTTTAACTATTAATGGGATGATTTGCTATCAACTCCCACAAATCAATAAATAATTAAGCTGTCAATTAAACATTTATTAAAATCAAATTTGGCTAGCCAATTTTTACCTTTCAATACAAAGCACCAATGGAACTTGATTTAAAACTTAGAAAACATTTCCAAAAAGTAATTTTTCTAATCAATTTCTTTCTCTACATAGTTAACCTTCCTAATTTGCTTTTAATTTATCAAGAAAGTTTATAGTTTAAAATGTTTTGATTATTTTTTTATAAAAAGAAGTTATAAGCATATATATTTGTACTTAGTTATATACATAATTCTGTAAAGTTATGCATATATATATATATATTTATAAACTTGTTGAATTAGATATGTAACTTAGTAAAAATATGGTTGTAATTAAATATAAATATGTTTGTAATCTTATAAAAATATGTTTGTGTTTAGTAGGTATATGTTCGTAATTTCTTAAAGATATGTTCACAACGTTTAACTTCATAAAATTATATTTGTAATTTGCAGATTATATTTTCAACTTCATAAATTATATTTATAATTTTATGAATTATATTTATAATTCGTGGCTCACTTAATTATGTTCGCATCAAAGAAATGAAATCAAGGCAAGAGAGACTCAGAAGACAACATCTTTCTACTCTCTCAGGTTATGATAGTCGAGCAAAGACAAGACAGTCAATTTTAGCGTAAGTCAATAATCAAGGGTAATGATAAGACAAAGTTAAGTCGAATAGAAGAGATGTTATGTCTTGACAGCCAAGTAGAGAGAGGATCTAAACCATAATTCGAGCGGGGGAGATGGAGATAACTTAAACACACACACGTGCACGTAGAATTGTTTTTTAAAAAATAAAATGTCGTTATTAAAGAATTTTATTTTGCAAATGACATGAAATAGAAATATTTTTTATTTTGGTCCAATGGTCATGAAATTTGGTGATTTTTTCAAAAATTCTTTTTAGCAAAATTTAACCCTAAAAAACAAAAAAGGAGATTTACGTCAATCAATTTCTGATTAGCCGTGCAACGCACGGGCGCTATCACTTTGAGAATTAAAAATAACACCAAAACGCCCTGCAGCTTACCCTAACTGGTAGGACGTTTTGGTCAATTCAGTCATTCGCGCGTGGGAGCAGCCACACTTCCTAGACATACGGTTTAACCATATATCAGTCCAAACAAGAGAATTCTCGCTTCTTCTCTCTATTTCTCTGTAGTTCTCGCCAATGGCGTCCCCAAAACCCTCCCCTAATCCACTTCTCTCTCTGTCCTCCTCCGTCTACCAACATTGTAACAGACTCGGCGCCGAACTCGCGAGTCGACTCGAGCGATTCGCTCTGAACCTGCCGCGGCCGGAGGCCGCGCCTCAGAACCGCTGGCGGCTGCCTCTGTCACCTTTACCTTTTGCATCGTTGTCGCGGCAGGGGGGTTGTCAGGGAAAACACGTGTTCGACCTTGCTCTGAGCTCGGAACAGGTGGCGAAGACTCTCGTCGAACGACGCTATACACAGTTAGCAACTCCAATAACGAGTTCGTGCTCATTTCTGATCCCAATAGCCTCAAGTCCATTGGATTGCTCTGCTTTCGCCAAGAAGACGCCGAAGCATTTCTCGCTCAGGTGACATCTCTCCCTCTCCAGTTATATATTTATACAGTACTATAATCAGTTACATATATGCGAACGCACACTGGTGGATTGCCCTCGATTTTTTGATTCACTTTCCCATTTATGGTATAATTTTTAGGTCCAATCACGAAAGAGGGAATTGCGAAGCAAGGCTAAAGTTGTGCCGATTACACTTGACCAGGTCACTGCTTTGGCATAAGTTTTTAATATATAGACATGTGTATTCAAGTTCAAACTTTTTTCAGTATAGGCGTGCTTCTTGTCATTTGTGGGAAATAAAATAAATTTACTTTTCGGAACGTTTAACTGGTTGATGGACCTAATTGAAGGGGAAAATTATACTGTTTATTTATTTACAAGTTTATAAAGCCCTAATTTTTAAAATTGTGGGAATTTATGGCCAGAAAACGGAAATAGTGGAAGATTCAGCATGCAATTCTTGGAGGGGTCTATTAACATTCTAGGAAATTAGATTGGATAACTTAAAAGCAAAAGTGAATTAGGTGTTATATTGGCAAATTATTTCGGTAACGTTGATCATTTGGTTCAGTTTTGCAATGTGTTTTAAGTGATTAGTGAGTTATGTAAGAAATCATAAGTGACTAGAGAAGCATTGGACTATCAAATGGTTTGATTTAAATATCGAATTAGAGTTTGGTTTTCATGAATGCCCAAAAAATAAAATAAAATAAAATAATAGAATGAAAGAGTGATGCTTATGGATTACATAGGTTCTTTAATATGCTTTCCAGTAGGTTAAAATTTGGAGTAACTTCACAGGGTGCTCTATCATGGAATGCATGATTCAGTTTTGCTGTCAGATTGTATATATTTTATTTATTTCCTTGTTTTCTGAGATTGGCATTGCTTGTTGGCATATATGTTATTTATTTCCTTGTTTTCTGAGATTGGCATTGCTTGTTGGCATATATGTTATTTATTTCCTTGTTTTCTTAGATCGGCATTGCTTGTCGGCGTCTTGACCCAAGCTGCTGTATTACTATCCTTAATCTTTAGGTCTACTCACTGAAGGTTGAAGGAATTGCATTTCGTTTTTTACCTGATCCAATTCAAATTAAGAATGCATTAGAGGTGCGCAATTCATTTATTGTCAGTTTCCTACTTTAATGAGGATATATTATTGGCATTATAATCATTAATTCTGGCTTCGAGCTGTATCAAGTCATATATAATGGTTATTTAGTTGTTTTAGCTTAAACTTGAGTGCAATATTGCATCAGGTGATTGCTGGTTTTTATTACATAATTCAGGTTCTCCAACATGTACTGGCCACATTGCCTCGTACTTGTTATTTGGTAAAGCAAATTTTTTAACTGGTATCACCCTGCCTGAAATTGTATATCTTTGTGTTCACTCAAACTGTTGGTTTGTCCTTAATTTTCAAGTTATTCCTAGATATAGTCAGTCATTGGGAGACATGAATATGAGCTCCTGAAAGTGAGGATGTTATTTGTTATTCTGTCAGGTGTTGAAATGCAAGTCATACTTAATTGCCAATTAGACCTACAATTATAAGAAGCTAAGTAACTCTCTTTTAATTTTCATATTTGCTAGCTGAAAGCATCAGATATCAAGGGTGGATTTGATGGTGTTCCTGTTTTCCAGGTATGCCTGTGTATTATATTGTCTGCTAGGTCTCCTTTTTTGAAATAATCATCTCATTAGATATGATACATGCACATGACATATTCCATAACACCTATTTTAAATGTAAATAGTATGTGACGGTTTACTTATTTTGCAAGTTATAGCCTAAATGAAGCTACTTTAAGATAATTAAAAAGAATGTGATTGCCCAAATGTAGCTTTTAATTGTCTTTTATCAGTTCATTCATAAAATTGTTTCACAAGCTTACAAAGGATCTTCTGTACAGTGCACTTGTAAAGTACATGGGCAAACATGCCTGCCAAGGTTAGATTTGCAATAGCCTCTTCATTTCAATTTACTTTAGTTATTCGTAACTGGAATTAAAGGGGATACTTTTTCAAACTTGCAACATTTGCAGTATGATGAGAAAAGAAGCAATGATCTCTTACAAACTCAAAACTGAATAGGAAGCTTAGCATATGATACTGCCACCATAAGATTTGGGAAAAGTCAAATATATGCAGCATGTCCTGCATTGGAATGAAACTATTTCCTTGTTTCAAACTGCTGATGCTTGAAGTCCAATTGAACAGCATTTACCATTGTACCATAAAGCTAAATCCCTTAAAAACAAACTGTTATACTATTGACTGTTAAATAATTAATATGGGAAGTATAGCTGCCATTTTACTTGGATCAATCAATTCGTCCAAGACAGTATGGGGTTTCTTATATTAGTCTTTCCATTTGTTTCTAGATATTTGTGTAAGTGGTGAAGGAGATGCAGTTGTTTGATTCCCTAAGTGCCTTACTGCAGTTTGTGGTCACATGAATTTATGAAATTATGCTATCTCTATAAATTTAATATCTCTGAAAATTAAAATATGCATTTGAATATTCAGAGTAAGATCTGATATGCTTTTGGACGTTTGAGGCATCCGGGAGCACGTTTATACCCATCCATAATTCACTAGCAATATAGCATGACTGCCATCAGGAAAAGCAAGTAGTTGACCCAGCCTTGTTGAATGTGGCCACCATTATCCTGTTTTATAAATAGCACTACTTTATGTGTGAATTATTTTTTCTGTCTACAGTCTGACCTTCTGGTTGTGAGGAAGAGAAATAGACGTTACTGCCCGATATATTTTTGTAAGGTTTGTCTGAGCATAGAAGTGTTTTTTACTTTTCTCTTCTTTTTTTTTCCAAAGACAGCACTCTGTGCAACACAATCATGACTGTCTGACATTTTGCCATTTTTGTGGCTGAAACAGGAAGATATAGAAAAAGAACTGTCAACAGTTTCAAGAGCATCTAGGGGACCAGGGGTTTCTCAACACATCATGGTATGAAAACCTGATCAACACCTTTTTTTTTTTTTTTTTTTTGGGTGGATGTCAAAATGCGTTTGCACTTTGCAGTAGTGCCAAGAAGTTTCAGGAAGAAGAATTAGATGGATAGTATGAGTTTTACTCACTAGATTTTTTCCCCCCATCAAAAAGTGCGTATGCAATTGAACAGCTTAGAAACTTCTGTACCATTGCTGGACTTCCTTACACCTTTAGGACACTGACAGATCTTCAATTGCTTTCTTGTTGTCATTGTGAGGCTGTTTCTTATAACTGTTTTACTCTAGCCAACCGGTGCTTGCTGCTGCTATTAATGACTAATGGAAAGAAAAAAGAAAAAAAAAAAAAAAAAAAGAGTGCGGCCAAGTGAAGGCGCCAGTTTGGCTGATGTCCCAAACTTTCACGATAATTAAAGTAAAAATGATAACACTCTCTCTTGGTACCATCTGTACTCTTCTTCAATTGACATTGCAATGGAAAAAGTTTTCTTATTTTCAAATAGAATTGTTAACCCCGCACCAAAATTGATACCAGCACTTTCACTCACATGGTGAACAGTGAACCTGCCCATGTGACAGGAAATGGTGAATGAGAGGTTCTCGTGTGGATTTATGGCTTCGATTGCAAAATTATTTTTGTTCTCACTGATGGGGTGCTGTAAATAACCATAAGAGATGGCAATTTTCTATATAGCAAAATTAACATGATCGATTTATGTTACAAGGCTGATGCATAAATTGGACGGAAGCTCAACTATTGACTGTCCTTCTAATTGTGATAGTAATATGAATCATATAAAGCTGGATATGGTTTTGCTTTTATCAATTTATAGTCCACTGTACGAATATGAAAATTACATGGGGAAGATCAAGAAATTTAAATAATTTTTTAATTCAAAATATTTAGTGCAAAATGTGGAAATTTGGTCTTGCCAGATTTACAAAAACTAAAACTTGGCTTGGCCTTTTTCATGCTTGTTATCAATATCATGGCCTTATGGAACATGTGCTTGGGAATTTTGTCACTCTAAATTTGACCGTGGTGTAATTCCTTCCTCTATCTCTTGCTTCATCGATGTAATGGTCATCCAATCTATTTCTTCTTACAGGTGGGAAGCTTGGAAAATGTTCTTAAGAAAATGGAGGTAACAAGATCTGGATGCTGATTTTTTTTCCCCCGCACATGTTTCTTTTTGCTTGCAGCGAGTAATGCAAACATGCCATCACTTTCCTGTTTGAGACAGATGAGTGAGAAGAACTCTGGTTGGGAGGATTTGATTTTCATTCCGCCTGGTAAAAGCCATTCTCAACACTTTCAGGAAGTGGTGAATGCGTGATAAATTTGTGTGGAAGCTGCTGACCATAACGCATAAGAAATTCACAAGAAAGCAATTGCAGCATTTTTACTTGGCACCTCAGACAGCAAGTCGGCCAACATGACTAATCAGGAATTCTCAGTGGGCATGTGTGTCTGTATGTTGTTTAAGGTTATGAATATCTTGAATGCTCAGACATTGAGTAAAGATTCCTAACTTAAAAATGCTTTGGCTCAAATGGGGCTTAAAATAATTTTTGGACAGAGTTATGTCCTTCCTATAAATGGTTTCATTGCAGAATATCAGATTCATAGACTCAACTTTGTGCATGAATATCTTTCAATGGGAAACACAAGACTTCATAAAATTTTAACGACATTTTAGTATGGAAATTAGGATCATTTGGGTTGAAAAGTCAGCCCAATACGATTTACCAATTTTAAGAAGATAATTTTGCATTATGACAGCATCACTTTTGGGCAGCACGACTGCAAAAATTCTTAACAATATGAAGACAGAATCTGGAAGTCCTTTTAAATTGATGGAAAGTTAAAGAGAAATATAAGAAAAATAACAAAACATTATTTGAACATAATTTGCAAGCTCGAAAAGCCCAATTACCGAGGTGTCGGATAGTTGAAATTTGTGCGAGTGTGCCAAAACTAAGTGCTGTTTGGGTAGCTTTTTTTTTTTTTTTTAAATACTTTTATCAAAGTGGTTTTTTTAAATGATTTTCAAAAGTAGAAGTTATTCAGTACTTTTGAACTTGTTTGGAGAAAATACACAGGTGCCTTTTCATTATTTGTATATTTTTTTCTATCTTCTCTCGCTTACCCTTGTCACATGAACCTTACCCGACGAACCCCATCAGTGGTATTCTTCACCACCAAATCAGAGGCCTTTGGTGCATACTCTGCCCTCATCACCATGAAAGACGACAACTACGATTTGCATGGGCAACGATGATTGATCATCCTCGTTGGTGACTTCTTCCTTGCTTTTGACAGTCGATGTCTCACTGGCAAGAGCCTTTGGCAGTCGATGTCCTTGCCGGCGAGTCTTTGACAATTGATTTTTCGTCGATGAGAGTCCTCACCTTTGACAGTCAATATCCTCGCCTTCGATAGTCAATGTCCTTACCGGTAATTCCTTCCTCGCCTTTGATGGTCGATGTCTTACCAACGAGAGTCCTCATTCCCATCGATGAGTTGGCCAAGTCCATAGGAACAAAGGGCTCATCGCTGTTGTGATGGCCGAACGAAGGACTCTGTTTGATTTTTAGTAAGGATAAAATTGGGATTTTAAAATTATGTAGAGAATCTTTATTTACAAAATATTTTTCTCTCTCTTCTATCTTAGAAGCAAATTTTAGTTGTTTTAAATAGTTATTGAAAAAAGTAGTAGAAAAATAATTTTTTTCTACTTTTACTTTTTCAAAAAACAAATACAAATGGTTTATTTTAAACCAAAAGCACTTTTTTAAGGAAAAAAAAGCCCGTTTAAATGAGCCCTAAATACATGAATGTAGAATCAAAGTTGAACTCCAAGGAATTAACAAGCAACATGCAACATCTTATTTAACATATTTTCAAGCCAAATGAAGAAAGGTTAGGCCTTTGCTCACCATGTCATAAGGGCCGGCTATAAGGAGACTATGCTGTCCTTAAATCAACGGTTGGGATGAAAAAGGATGAAGGAAGGAGAAAAGGGAGCTTCTTCTTCCCTTGTCAAGGCCGACTTAATGCCTTTTGAAGAAGGCTTATGAAATGGAAGCTTGAACTTGGAATAATTGTACAATTATCCCAATGAACCACTCTCTAACCTTTTCAATAGAAAGAGGGCTAACCCGCCATAAATAAGGTTCAAATAACAAAGAAAAAGAAGAATGGGGATGAAGATGGGAATTGCTTGAAATGTAAACTAGTTACAATAAAATTAAAGTAGAAGAATGGAGTCGGAGAGTAGGAAGAAATGAAAATAAATGAAATTTACTTGAAAGAAAGTTGAATGCTTGCTAGTTTCTAATTCTTCTTTTCTTCTTCTCCTCTTCTCTTGTTCTCCAATCTTCAAGGCTCAAGTATCCAATTTGGCAGCGTTTCAATAAGCTTAAAAGAACTCTCAAGTCCATGTCTCTCGTTTTGTCGATCAATTTTGGAGTTATTTGATTTCCAAAAATCTTATGCATTTTTAAAATTATTTCCTCACTTGCATTTTAAAAAAAAAAAAAAAATTGGTGACTTAGTCTACCTTTATTTATACTAAGCCCTCTTTTTTTTTTACCTTAAAAATTTAATGCCCATTTTCAAAAACTGTCATATATCACATTTTAATATTTGAATTTCAATTATATGAATTACACATTTTTTTTTTTGGGAAAAAGAAGGCAGTCAAATTTTTGGTGATAACACTTCATGTTGAATTCTTCCTTTCTCCCATAGACTTAGATCTAATAACTTTAAATATATGGTGTCTTAGTGCGTATATTGTATTTTGCGTGCACACAACCATAACAAATTACATATTAACTTTAATCGATTCAAAATAGTGAATTGCAATAAAACAAAAACAATCAAAGAAATCATAGGAATCTAATTAGTTATGGGTGATTCTAGAAAGTTTTAACAAAAAAATAATCACATAAAACAACATCATAAATACATACATATACTTGATTATATATTTATTAAGATATATAAATCTCGACAAAGGAAAAGATAAAATTTTATTTAAGTTCACTCTAATATCATATGTGAGACAAAAATTTTATTCGTAATCACATGAACATCATCAACCAATGAAATACTCATTTGTATAGCTGTTACTGTCAAGTAAAAGTTAACCCGTGCACTAAGACGGTGTTTACAAATGCTTTTTCAAAATCAGAAATAGATATTTTTAAGCAAAAGTTGATAGAAAATATTTTTAAAGTGAGATGTGTTTGCAAATTATATAAAAAAAAACTCTTGAAAATGGTGAAATAGGCATTTGAAATATAAGTCGTGTAGTTTGTTTATAGAGAAATTTTGGTTTAAAAAGACTAAAATGCCTAATCTTTTCTCTTCTCTCTTTCATTTTTTTTTATTATTTCCTTTCTCTCTCATCAATTGCAGTGGTCTTTGAGAGAAGCTTCGCTGTCGCTGGTGATTTGAGGGAAGATTGTCAGTGCAGTTTACAAAAAGATTGCTGGATTCAACTGGGCAGGACAACTGCCAGATGTAGCTAGGCAGGATGTGTAGATAGCAGCTGGGGCAAGATGTACAATGGCGGTTGAGCAGAGCACCAAGGCGATGATCGGTTGAGCATAGAGGCAACATTCAGCTGAACGGAAGCAGAGTCTTCTCTAGCTCTGAGAGAGCACAGCGCTGAGGGAAGAATAGAGGGTGTCATTGTTGATTTGGGGAAAGATCACGAGTACAAAGTAGTTAATAAAGGCAGCTGTCAAATTTGGATAGGTAGAATGACCACTAGGGTGCCGTCATCCTCATCTATTAATCAAAGGCGACGTTTGGCAAGAAGCAACTGAATGAAGGCTGGCTCTAGTGAAGCATAGAGACAAGAAATAAAATAGGGATTTGATATGGGTAATATTGGAATTCATAAAAAAAAGTGAGTATAAATATGTCCAAACTCAGCTCCTATTTATTTACCATTATGCTATTAAAGCTAAATCACTCTCTCCCCCTATTTAAACTTTCAACTTTAGCTTCAGTTTCAGCTTCAGCTTCAGCCGCTATCAGTTTTATTTAGAGAAGCACCAGTTATAAACTACATTGCAAAACCCCTTTAAAGTGCTTTTCGTTATCGAAAATTATAAAATTATTTTTCAAAAGTTAATGCAAACACCTCCTTAAGTTTCTTTCTCTAGTAGCACCAAGCCTAGCCTTTAAATAGAAAAATCTGATGGGCCCTCGCATTAGGCCTACGCTGTGCCGCTAAACCACCGTATCTTAAATGGATGTTTAAAACCCATATAATGATGATCGCATTACAAATTTGGATCAAATAATCAATCTGATTTTGATAAAATTAAAGCAATTGACAGTACCCCAAAATAGGAACATTTTTACATGTTTTGCCCCTTTTTTTTTTACGTTTTGTTGTATCTTCATACTGAAAATTCGGGTGGAGTATGTTTCGATTTGTTGTCTATTATCATTTCTTGTGTTTCAAAAACAAACACAACACTGAAAATCTAGAAAATTCTGTTTTTTCATCTCTTTTTGGTCTCAAGCTAAAATAATTTTCAGAATTGCGGAAATAATTTTTGGGGTTTGCTCAAGTTGCATATATTTTCTGAATATTCTCCACAGAAATCTTTCCAAAACAACATGCTAAACGGGTTTTCTGTTTCTAAAGAGGAATTCATGTGGGTTCACTACTCTTAATGGGCGTTCGGATGGAGGATAAGATATAGGGTGATAAATATATAATTAGATAAAATTTATCAGGGGATAAATTTTATCACGTGTTTGGTTTAACATATACTAAATGGGATAAAATTTTTAAAAAATAGGATAAAGCTGATAATTTACCAAAAAGCCCTCAAATTAAAAAAAAAAAAAAACTTATGCAACCGGATCGGATTGCCCGATTGAGCCAGCCGGCTTGCGTGGCTCAGATCGCCATTGTCGTCTTCAACCCAGAACGCTGCGTCGTCATTGGTGGTCAGACCTCCTTCCAGCCAGATCGTCTTCAACCCAGAACTCTGTGTTGCCGACGGATCAGACCTCTTCCAGCCGGATCGTCTTTAACCCAGAACTCTATGTCGCCGACCTCTCTCTCGCTGTCATCGTCTCTCTCTCTGCTCCTCGTCGTCATCCGCACCAGCTCCTCTCTAGCCGCCACTACCGATAGCACCACGTCGTCCTAGTTTTCTTGTCTTCGATTGGGTTTTCTAGTTGTTGTGGGAATAGATTTAGCTGTTGATGGGTCGACTTGGCCATTTGGGGTCTGTATCATTTCCGGCGAGAGCTGTTGGTGGGTTTGAGACGAGGACCGTCAGCGAGAGCTCTGCGTCGTTG